AGGAACAGCTTCATTTGCCCAGGGCCTTTCCTTCACTATTGTCGTTTTTGCGACAGCGTCCCTAACAACAGTGTCATTCTCAACGAGGTATTAAGGGAGGAGCGGGCGGTAGATAGAGGAGGTGCCTTTGCAGCGCGTGTGCACATGTGGCCCCGTTCCTTGCGGAGATGCACTTTCATTCTTTGTACTGCTTTCAAATACGCCTTCTCATGAAGGTAGAGGAATGGAGCGACTGAACCTGCAAAGAATATTTTATATCATTTTTCACATATCCTCGTTTATTTTGCGCTACACCCTCTTACTCCTACTATGATGCCAAGATGTTACTGACCCCCACGAGAATACCCCCTGTCCCATCCTGACGAATACCACCCCCTTGTCGAGGACTTCCTCGACCGATATTCACCCTGGCCTACTGTAAGAATTGAGCACAATAAGTTTGAGTCACCAATGAATGGTAAGTAGGACGGGCTCAGTCATGTGTGAATAACGCTATTTGGAGAGAACACATTTGACATATTGCATCTGATGAAGCTGCTAGATAGAAATACTAATCAGAGAGAAGATATTGTGGAATCAGGTACCTATACTAAGCAGGTCATCAAGCCACTCCGCATTCATGCCTCCGTCGCCTCCGATCCAAGAAAGAATGGTGCACCTGATACAGAGAGATATCGAAATAATACACCTACTTTGCTCCAAGGAAGTGCTTTCAACTGAATGCTCAAACAACAGACCATGAAGAAAATACAAAAGAGGAATTTTTTGAAAGACTCACTTAATTTCCCCATAGATAGGGCACCAAACAACAGCATGGGATTTCGACAACGATACAATCTTCCCGCAACCTAAAGAAGTTTGTAAAAACTTAAGGGAAATTGAATTTAGACTGGAAATTCTTGTCTCTGGGTTGTGATTCCAGTTTTTTTTGAACATTCACTTTTTAGACGCCGTCGCTCACAGCTGTGGAGCATCAAAAGTTCACTGTACCCGAGCTACTGATCTGTGCGGCTGTGCAAAGTCCAATGAATACGCAGAAAATCTTACGCATCTACTCCACACCCAAACTGCAGAAGTATGATCCGACTCATATAGGTCTTACCAGTTATGAGAGGTTCTCGAGACCTTTTCAGCTTTGTCGCCGAAGTGGCTATCCACTCTACATCCATTTATGTCACCTTGAGGCCGAATGAATCGACACTAATAATTCATCACCTTAATGTGGAAACACATTACGTAATGATCACAACAATGAAAGACCACAGTAACGAGAATGTAACAATGAAGCAAATGAATGTGGCAAAACGTAGAGTTATTGAGGAAGTGTGAGCTCAAACCTATGTTAAGGTACGAATTCAGCCGTGTCACCTCCTCAGCGGAAAAGGCCGCTCCTGGGATGAAAACTGACCCAAATTCGTCACTGATTCCAAAAGCGAGGGTTTCGGTTACATTGGTGACCACAACACACTGAAACGTGAAGCCGCTCAAACACTTCAGAAGGAGACAAGAGCAGAAAAAAGGAAGAATTAAAATTAGCAAATTCCAAGAATTCAAAGGTTTAATCTTCCCGGCACGCCAAGAAAAACACTCAAAAGAGTGGGAAAATGACAGTATTTCGCGGATATTCCAATGGAACTTAAACATAGTAGCTCTATTCAAGAGGCCGTAATGAAACAAACTAAGCAACGAACCTTGTCTGTAATTAGCGCTACGTTCGAGCCACTGGGGCCAGCTGTCGTGTGTGATGCACGTAAAAAGGTGTTATCCGTCTCAAGAGCATTGTTTAATTGGCGTACCTGAAGAAAAGAATTTGGACAAATAACAGAAACGCTTTGATACATTCCTGATCTAATCATGAGGGAAAGAGGATCTGTTCTAAACAGGACTCATGAAAAATTACCCGTACAACTCCGGGAAAAAGTCGTATGCACTATAAATACCAAAAAGATTTTGCGTAAGCTTACAAATTTGAAAAAAAAAACTAAGGAGAAAGTCAAAACCAAACGACACCTTTACAGCTCTCCACTTGCATCCATTTTTCCCCTCTTGAGGAACCATAGTGACACGGACAATGTCGCCGACATTGTAACGCATCGAAAAGTTTGGTACGTGTTCTGAGGATGGTATTGCAGCGGCTAAAGGGCAGAAAACGCTCCCATGACTTGTCTCTATGAAGGCGAATTTGGTCTCCACACGTGTCAGACGACCATTAACAGTGATCTTTTCCACCATCTGGTACTTCTCTGAAATAATTACAAATAGGATACAGTGGGGCGTACATGGTGTTATAGGCTGCTATCCCGCTATATGAAGCAATTGATCGATTGCAAGAAAATCGGACTGTCAAGTCGCGGATCGCACATTACTATCCGGACGTTCCTTCATCTGTATATGTATCAAGCCACGTTGAGACATTCTTAAGCAACTGATGGAACGAAAACCTATTATCGTGCTGATGAAAGATAACCTTCACTAGTCCAAATTCTTCGTCTTCGAGTCATTCATGGGCGAATGACCTCATAGAGGCCGCCCACCAGTCAGCGAACTTGCAACCGGCTGCGCGTCTTACTACAAATTGGAAATAGAACCAGTGCGAAAAGTACGATCGCCAGGGGAGTTTAGAGTCAGTACATGTGCAAGATGAAAAATTTCGATGTGTTTAGATCATGTGTACATTCTTTGAAGGTTCCT